GCTGTGTCATTTTTGTATTTATTTTTTTACTTTAGAAACTTCCCAGAGAACACAGAGCTTCTCACCACTCTGGGCCTACTGTATTTACAGGTGAGTGATTTTATCTTTTAATGTGTTGTTTGGTTAAATAAATCAGTAAATTTGATTGTTTTTGATTATTTTCTGTCAGCTTGGGAAATACCAGAAAGCTTTTGAACACCTCGGAAATGCCCTCACTTATGACCCCAATAATTATAAGGTGGGTAAAAATAAGGCTTTTGTATGGTGCACAATGTGGCTGAGTCACAACATGAGGTCATTTACGGTGGGAGGGGCAGGTTGTCTTTTATCACACGCTCATTCATTCAGTTGACTCCGTTTCTTTTTCATCTCCTTCATCATTGTCTTCATGTCCAGGCCATTCTGGCTGCAGGCAGTATGATGCAGACCCACGGTGACTTTGATGTGGCCATGAACAAGTACCGAGTGGCAGCGTGTGCAGTTCCTGAGAGCCCCCCTCTGTGGAACAACATCGGCATGTGCTTCTTTGGGAAAAAGAAATATGTTGCTGTGAGTGATCTCTGCTGAACTGACTGCGACAGTGGCCCAGTTCAGGTGTATGAGCCTCAAAGGAGGGACATGCAGATAGTGTTTGTGTAGAAAGAGCGTTAGCGTCCCTGTCTGTCCTGCATGGTTTTCTGTGAACTTCCTTTTAATGATCTGGTACTTTTTTCTTTTCCCTATCTTTAGTTATAACACATTAAGTGTAAAAATTCCTATGATGACAGTTCTGATCAGATAGGACAGACCAAGGAAAGTGTCAAATCTGGCCCATCACATGATTTTATGCGGCCCACCAGAACATCACATGTTTAATCATTGTCATTACTAGACAGTTCTAGAAATGTTAACCCTGTTCTGCCAGCAAATCTTTGGCCAGTTGAGTGATTGAGTTTGACACAACTGATCTAAACTCTGATTCAGCAGCAGCTTTCTGTCGTGGCCTTGAACACTTTTTCCTGACTTAAGGAATCTTTTTTTTTCAACAATAGTAGTAGTGGATAGTGTCAGGCTGAATTTCGTATATGTTTGAAAATATTTGTTTTCATATAAGCAGATAATTTTTCTTTGCACTCTGGTGACCTATGGCCCATTCTTTCTTACACAGGCTTTCAGTGGACTCTTTCATACGTATTTCAAACTCTTTTATCTTCGTAGACAGAACTGAAGGCAGTCCCACCGCTAATATATAATATAACTCCCTGCTGTGACTTGGATGAACTTTGTCAAGCTTCTTTGAAAAACGTCTCACCTAAAGATTATAGAATATATTTTTATATTTTATTTCCTGTGAAGAAGTTAAAAAAGGTTTTAACTTCTTTCTTCTTACATTATTCTCTCTTAAATAACTTACTGTACCTCTTTTCCTCCCTCTCCTCCGCCCCTGTATTCCCCCTGCAGGCCATCAGTTGTCTGAAACGCGCTCACTACTTGTCTCCGTTTGACTGGAAAGTGTTGTACAACCTTGGTCTGGTGCACTTGACCATGCAGCAGTACGCTTCTGCTTTCCACTTCCTCAGCGCTGCTATCAACCTGAACTCACGGATGGGGGAGCTGTACATGCTGCTGGCAGGTGATGAATCTGACAAAACCAACCAACGAAGGATTTATATGAGGCTGTCACATGGTGAAAATATTTTAGTAGCTTAAAGGGCAGCTAATCATGATTAATCATGGCTGTAATTAACTATGATTAGTTAAACTAAATCATGGAACTATAATAATGTATCATTATTATTAACAATGGTCATCGATCTACAGTCCTCATTCGCATGGTAGGAGTTAAGATGGTACTTTAAGCAAAAACACTTTTCCACTGTGTGTGTGAATACCAACGTGTGTATTAAGAGGCATTAAAGTTTATGAGACAACAATAAGAAAGAGACATGTGTTGTAGAAGTGTTGAACTTCTAGGCTCACACATTAGATTTTAAGTTCAAAATGTTGCCTGATCAGCAAAATTTACTTCTATCTCATGCTTGTGGTCAACAGTGGCTCTGACTAATTTGGAAGATGGTGAAAATGCAACCAGAGCCTATGAACAGGCTGTGATGCTGGACGAGTGAGTCTGCTTTAGTCACTGCTGCTCTACACGTCTGAATTTTGCTTCTGATTCCATGTCACCAACTCGCCTTCTTCGGTCATTTCTTGCAGATCCAACCCACTGGTTAACCTGAACTTTTCAATATTCCTCTACAATCACGGCGACAAAAAGGCAGCTCTGGATCAGTACCAGGAGATGGAAAGAAAAGTCAACCTGCTCCAAGACAGCAGCAGCAGCGCTGAGTTTGACCCAGAGGTGAGTGCACTGTAGTGTGTTGTTTATTTGTCTTCTGAAGTCAGTTTGTGAGGTTGTTGCTGTGAGGTCACTAGTGAGTGGTTGTTTTGTCACATAACAGCTGATGGACATGGCTCAGAAGATGAGAGCTGCCTTGCAGGTGGCTGACAATGTGGTGTGGACTAAACCAGGCAAAGACTCCAAATCTAAACCAAACTCGGCAGCAGCCACCAAAACACCAGGTGCCCCCCTGGGGTCTAACCAAGCCCTGGGTCAGGCCATGTCTTCTGCTGTGAGCTACAACAAGAACATCCAGCTACCGACAGGTACAAACTTCACTTTCTGTCGACAGGAGTGTGAGTGGGTAAAAACCCACAGCAGGGAGAATGTCTCAGTGAAGTTAGTCCAGAATGCACACTCAGATTTAGCCTGGAAATCCCTGCCGTGAGGTCCAGTAATTACAGGGGCAGCACAGATGATGACAAATTTCACAGCCTTCGCCTCTCTCCATTAGACCAAAGTCCAATTTTTCATCTAAATTGGTAACTTGAAAATATATCTGTTGCCTGTCGAGCCTCAGTTTTTTGCCTGCACTACTGTACCACAGTGAATTTATGGGCTAAAGCATATGTAATATGTGAAAAAAGAAGATAACCTCCAGCCAGTACATACTGTTGGCAACACGAGTAAATCTGTAGTGCGGCACCCACAGGTAAGACAATAAATTCAAGGCAACTGTAAAATGATTATAGCAGCACAGAAGTGGTTTCTTTCACAAAAAGCCTGTGGCTGTTTCTACCACTTCAGTTTAGCTGTGGCTAACAAATAATCACAGAACCATCTCTGCTAGATTTACAGCTGGTAGCTGACCCTGCCTAAGATAATACTGTTGAAAAAAAGACACATATTAGCAGAAATACAAAATATTTCATCGATGCCTTAACCACTGTACGCACTCCTGTAAATTAACGTATTTGTGACGTACGGAGACTCGTGGGTCTGAGTAGTTACAGAGATTTAGACACTGTGTCTGGTGAAGTGGCTGGGATTTGAGTCCAAGAAATCCAACAATATGTCATTAAGTTAGATGTAAATTTAAAAGCACTTCCGAAATGGTTTCCATGATTTCAGAAACTGATTTCAGGAAAGCTCTGTGTGCAAATGAAAACATGTAAATCGGAGTCAGTTCTGCTGCAAGTGGAATTCACCAGACTTTAATGTCTTCTCCATGTGAGTCACAGAGGTGGTGTCACATTTATATTCAGGGAGTGAATCTACTCTTAAACACCATTCTCACTGGCGGTCATCAACTATTAGAAGTGACATGACGTGATAGTCTAACTGGTAATAAGTTACAGAGCAGCATGATTCACCCCCAATGTCTGTTATATGTAAATACTTTTCTTACATTTTAGAAACATAAATGCTTCCATTAAGATAAGAGCTTTCTTCAAAACTAAAATACTTTTTTCAACAGGACAATTAAAGTCTGGATTCTGTCTTGGCTTTTGACAGACTGGCTGCAGTCCAGATTTGTCTAAAAATGTTGACTGTAGATGACAGACTGGCTGCAGTCCAGATTTGTTTTTGGTTGAGATGATGAAGAGAAGAATCTAAAAATGTTGACTGTAGGCTGTTGCGCAGCTCTGGTCAAGTGTCAGTAAAATAATTTGGATGTTGACCATTGACAGTTACCTCTGTACCAACTTAGTGGACATGGTCTTAATGAATCAGTTTTCTTTTCATGCTCTCAGGTGAATATTTGTTTTAGGTTTAACTGTGACCAGTATGATTTAACTACACAGAGGATTATAAATATATCATCATTGTTTTTACAGGCGCCTCATCTCCTGACCAGGAACCTGATGTGGACAAAGCCCCCAGTCCACCCAGAGATCCTCCAGGTTCCCCTGTACCTGTACAGACAGACAAACCCAGAAGCTCCAAGAAGAAAACTAAGGTGGAGGAATGAACTAACGTAGTGGCTTCACTTATGTTATTTTACAATAGGATCAACATTTAATGAGTTTAAAGCACAGAAATCTCTTTTGTGGTTTATGTTCAGCTCTATGTTCAACATGAAGCCTTAGTTTCTACTGTAGGCTTGATGTTGTTGTTGTTCCACGCTGTAAATGATATCACTGTCAAAGACAACATCAGGTTCAGGAACATTACACCTCTTAGAACCTTCACCAAAACTTTGAATCTCACCAAATCTTTCACCTACACCAGCCTCCACACCAACGGAACAGGTTGTTAAAAAAAAGACCATTTGTGTGTGTGTGTGGGGGGGTACTTTTAATACTTTACAACAATGTCAGGTGTAATGTTTTATGCTGAGACAATCACTAGAAAGATACACAAAGGTTTGTGAATACTTAGAAGATATAGTTTGTATGATATGGTTATATTTGAGGGTCCAGAGTTAACAGTGAAACACGCTCATTTGTGTAGATATTATAATGGTTATAGAATATTGTATTTATTAATAAAGAGGAAAATATGTGGAGTGAATTTTGGCTTTAAGTAACATTGAGGAAGGTATATATGTAGAATAAGACACAACATATATATATATATATATATATATAATGTTGTCTAATATAGAGTTGATCTTTCTGAACTAGTTTTAGTTTCAGTCTAGTAACAGAACTTTTTATGGACACACATTTACTTCACCATTAAGGACCGAGCCTGAGCGGCCCATTAATAAAACCCTGCTCCTTACTTTTACTGATGACTCAGACTGGCCTCTGAGATGACTGTGGACAGACTGTAAACTGTGTCACCTCTGATCTTTAAATTTTATAATGCAGCTGATGGTTCAGAAGTTCCTGCTCTGCAGCAGTTGAACACTGCTGTTCTTTCTACTTCATACTACTGTAGTACGAAACCAGCTACTTACTGTAGGTTTGTTTGGAGTTGGCCGTAACAAACCCACAAACCTTTTTCAATAGAAAATTAAATCATATGTTAGATTCTTAATTATATTCACAAGGTTAATTTTTAACATTTTTTCCATTTGGTGTGTCTTTTCAGGGTTTCACACACGCTCTCCTCTTCCATCTTTTATATGAACTTTCCCCCCTCTTCTATACAACCTCAGTATTCGACTGATATATTTTATTGAACTTCTCTGATTCCATCTACAGCCGTTCATGCTGCCTCTGCTCCTTGTCTGCCTCTTTAAGGAGTTTTTTTTTCTTTCTCAACAGTAAAAATGTCTCAAACATCAGCCGTCATCTGTGCTTCACTGAAACTAAACCTCCACATTTGAAATTCTCTCTCTTTATATTTTTTCTTCTATTTCAGCCTCACTTTCTGGATGTTATAAAATCACTTCCTAACAAAATGATCTTGTTCCAATTTTTACTTTACATTGAAGGAAAAAAATTGCAAAACGTGTACTAAAACCTAAAGACAGAAAATGTTTTTGGTCAACGTCTGAAAAGAAACACTCCATTAATTTGCACTGAATTATTACAATATAACATTCAAAGGTAAAAATATCACACAAAGTGTCAAAGTTGTTCAAATCTAACAGGTAACTTTTCGTGAAAGTGTGAAAAATATAATGAAAAGGATTCTTTTTCATCTCCCAGTGCATCTGTGTCTACAGTCATTTTTCAACATTTCCGTCTGAATTTAATTTATTGGCTGCTGCTGCTGGAGTCTGACTAAAAAAAACCAAACCTGTTTTGCATCTGTCAAATATACATCCCTGGGGGAATTTGAATAAATCTTTGATTCCCCCTGTATCAACAGACAAATTTCTGCACTGCACCTCCTTCATCTGAACATGAGATTTATTAATTCATCACACTTTCATTTTTCTCTAACAATTCAGCTTGTTGTGGGAAAAGTTACACCGACGGCATTAAAATTTCACACAACTTTGTATCAGATTTTCTCTTTGTGCTGCTCACCACAGGGTTCTAAATGTTCTCCTCAGTCCTGGAGGAACCTCAGCACAGCAGGTGAATAATGTGCTGGGTCAGATTCAAACCCGGTTTGTTAGATGTCGACTTTAATGTGGAACACACTCATTCTGATTTTATTTCCTGTGCACGTGGTGACATTTAAGGTGAGAGAAGTGATTTATTCTACATTCATGAGAATGTTGGTCTCACGTCTTTTCTGACTTCGACAGGAATCAATAATGTTTTTGTAGCCCCAGTCTCTGAGTCACCACTGAGGAATCATTAGTACAGATTTGGCAGCAGTTTTTAACACAGCGTTCATAATTGTTTTTTTGGGTCTCATGTGACCCACAGAAAAAGTTTCTTCCACAGCATTAAATGAACCACGTGTGTCCGTTACGAAATAATAGCTTTACATTTATCGGAAAATGTAAAGTTGGTGTCCTAAATGGAGAATAATCAAATCTGATGTCTGTGACTCCATGGTAATACGTCTTAGTGTAGCTGTAATACAGCATTTCATAGACTTTTTAAAATTCTGCAGGAATACTGACTAAAGCTAGAAAAATGCTGCTCATGTTGAGACGACTATCGACCAAGTAGAGGTTGAAACTTTTTCCCTGCTTACATGCCGACAGTTTCAAGGTCCAGAAGCGATCAGTATCCCTGAGGCTGTTTTATTTATACATGAGGGCTCGCTGTAACTCAGTGCTGTTTCACAGGGCATTGTCTTTTTGATGAAGGAGACACAGACAACATAGAAACTAATAGAAAACAGTTGTGATCAAAACCACAGAATAGTCACCTAATGGGAATTCTTGAGTTTAGATATCGTTTCCTACATGTTTGTTACCCAGGGTTCCTCAGTCTTTGTGCTTTCCTCTTGGATGAGACATGTTTATGTTGCAGGTCTAATAACTATTTGTTTTGTGGGTTTTTTTTCTCCTGGATGTGTGCTCTGTGTCCCTGATCAGGGAAAACAAATGCCACAAGCTAAAAATTTCCCAGAGGAGTTCTTCTTCTCGCCCTGCTCCTGCAGCAGTGCCAGAGGCTGTAAAGCACCAGGATGGTTGTGAGCATCATGTGAAATAAGACCTCGGTGCTGTAAGCATCAGCAACCTGATACTGAGTGAAGCAGTTATTTTTGGAATATTTCTGTCTCGGTGAGATACAGTGTTGTGTGAGCAGAGACCGGAGGTCTGACCTCCACTAACTGCTGCTACAGCTTCAAAAACCAAATCCATTTATAAATCAGATGCAGTTAAAACCAGGGACGGATCTGCAGCAGGAAATCCTTCAATCAGTGTCGCACCTAAACACATCTGCGTGATGTCTTACTGGACTGGACTACCCTAGACTAGACTACAGCTACAGAACTAAAAGAACCTGAATCCACCAGTCTGGTTCTTTCAACATTTCTTAGGTTAGTGCTTGATGCCACCAAACAGGGATGTGTTTAGCATCCTCTGTCCAACCAGTGGTTAAACAGCTGCAGCTGATTCATTTTGATCAATTCTGAAAACCAGTTCCTAGGATCCCGAACAGAAACAGGGAAGTTCTAGAGACTAGGACTAAGAGCAGCCCCACGCTCTGAGTGCCCTTGAGATTTTTCATGTAATTAATCTGCCCAGCTTCACTAGACTCGTGCCATCGTTCATGATGACACTAATAATGCCTAATTATATTATGTTGTAAAATCCTGCTTGGTGTTTAAACTTGTAATTTGGGTAAAGTAATGGTGCATATAACGTATTACACTTTTAATCACTGGGAACTGAAGGTGCGATGCCGTGCATTTCAATAAATCTCCTTGATTAGAGTGTGTTGTTGCCGCTGCTTTTATTGGTGTTGTTATTTTTTCCGGCAGATACTGTTTACTTCGAGCTTCGCCGCCCAATTCCCCCTCCGTCGGCTTCACTGGTGGAGGCAGCTCAAAGGCATCCTGCTGGCATCTCGGCAGAGCAGCTTTATCTGTGTTCCCTGCTTTTCCAGCATGTTCTCCAGCAGCCTTCTCTGCTCGTGCCACCCTGATGTGCCAGCCAGAAGCTTCAAGTCACAAACTGAAGCTCCGAGCTGAGAGGCTCATTCATCTGAGCATCACTATCAGCTCACCCAACAATGGCTCACTCTTTCATTTTCCACATCACTCTATATGCATGTAAATTAATGTGAATAAAGAAGTGTGGGACTGGTTGTTCTGCCGACACCGTGGGGAACCAACGTCTTCACAGACACACTTTGAAAAAGATGCATGGACTAACCCTTAGCCCCACAGCTGTCGACAATAACTGACAGGAACAAATGCACGCAGCTCAAAAGAGAGACGAAATATGAGTGGAGTTTGTCATATTTTTAAATAATCAAATACCTCCTCATTTAAGACTTTATTCTCAAATATGTTTTTGTTTAAAAATTGCTAAACAGATTTTTATTGAACCTGAAAATGTGCAGATAACAGTAGGTAACAAGCATTTTCCTATTCATTTTTCAACAGACATTTACATCTTTTTTACGTCTTTTCCGACCACCATCTTGCAACAATCCTTTTAGCTTGCTTCCTAAACTGTCCCCAAATACCCCTCACCTTGACCTCATCTCTTAACCTGCCCTTTTGCCAGTGCAAAAAGCTCAAAGCTGATTGTGGAAGAAACCCAATTCCTGACATGAACTGATCTATACTCACTGTCTACATATACAGTATGTGATGCACCGCCCTCACATCCTTCACAGCCGCTCCGCTACAGAGTGTTAACTGCATGGCATCAAATTCCTATTGTAGTCAGCTTTTATGTCCTGTCTACTTTGGGCCTGCACTAAATTAAATGTTGACAATCCTGTAAAATCCTTTTTTCTCATATGTTATTTCTACACAACCTCCTGATGTCCTTTCAGATTACGCACATGAACAGATTAAATTGCTGATCGCGGCTCCTTCTCCTCCTTGGCAGTCTGTTTAATCAGTACTTCCTGCTGCGTTGACGGTTGCAGCGGCTGCTGACAGTGAGACCTGCTCCCACCATTGCTGAGTCCACCTTTTTAGATCTGAGTCCTGGCGTTATTTTGTCACAGAATGTGAGTATTTGAACAATCTCATGCCGTGTGTGTGTGTGTGTGTGTGTGTGGTCTCTAGTTTCCTCCGTACTCTGAGAACACGCAGATTCACCTAATTAGACACTAAACTCTCAGTCAGTCTGAGAGTGAGTGTGACTGGTTGTTTGTGGCCATGTGATTGACAGCTGACCTTTCCAGGGAGAAGGCTGCCTTCCTCTCAATGTCAGCTGTGATTGGCTACAATCCCCTTAGGAACTGATAAGTGGTGGAAGATGGATGGACATGTTACTGAGTTGATTTGAAGTGTTTCACCTCGTATAAGAGTACTTAAAAAAACAACAGCTGTTCCCATTGGTCTGCCTGATACATTCGTAATAAACATACATTGTGACATAACGTGGAATCTACGCAGGTGTCTGTGATGGTAGAAAAATCACAGACAGGTTACAGCAGAATGTGTAAAACGATGTAGTTCTATCTCCATAATTGGTAATAGATTTCTTTAGCAGCATTGTTCTTCCTGGAATACCATTTTTATAGCATGAATATTTCTGCAGAGTCCCTGCTCAGTTTTTGGAGCTATTTTACAGTGATTTTCCTGGAAGCTTTACCAGACCCTTGCTGCAGAGGAGAGGAAGTTTGAATCTCATTAAAAATTATAAAAATGAGCCATTGATAATAAATTTTATTGCCTACAAAAGACACAACTATCCCTTTACAAAGAGGGAGGGTTATTGTGGGTTTGTTAATCAAACATATTGTGTTTCCCTGTCTGTGTTTTCTCTTGATGTTATTTATTTAGTGTGAACATCGCTCTCATCCAGACCGGTGTCTGCTCACATTCTGCCCTCTCCTTGTCACAGGTCTCTGCCTTGGCCTGTGAGGAGAACAAACTACAGGATCTGCTGTGAATCTGGTAAAGACATTAATGTTATTCCCCTCCAGCTGCATTGACCTGTGGAGACAAAACTCTGCCCCCTGTGGTGAGTTTGTCTTCCCTGCAGAGTCAGTGCAGGCAGGCGGACAGCGGTCACATCAACATGTCAGCTTTACTGTCCTCAGGAAATCCAGGACAAGAATTCCTGTAGCCAGTGTTTTATCTGTGAATTCTGTCATGTCATGATGTCATGTCATGATTGTTGATGAAACGCAGCAGTGGTCAGCTGAGTCTGCTCATGGGAATTAAGGACAGTCAGGGATTGTATCCCATGTCAAAGATTGTTTACTTCTTTACTCTCACATTTTAAAATGTGCAGAATGAGTATTGGATCAACATGAGACTAGATTGTGTATACGGAGAAACCCTGTGCAAGTATTATCAATGAATATTCAAGTCATACTTTGTCTGCTGAAGTTAGAGTTCAGTTATGACCTTCATTCTTCACCCTGTGTTTCTCTCCCAGGCTATGCTCTCCCTACCTCGGGTGTCCACGCCTCCCTTGTCTACCTGCCCCTGCCTGCGGGGTTTCTCTCCTCGATGATAACCCAGCTTTCCCCACTGTGTCTGGTCAGCTCCTCCCCTGTCTGAATATAACTTGGGTGAGGCAGACTTTATTCTTCTTTATTTCTTGTTTTTCACCTTTCATCCTAGTGACCTTGGCTGTGTATGTATACTGCATTCCAGTGTTTTGATATACAGTATATATATATATATATATATATATATATATATATGTATATGTCTATATTTATATATGTGTGTATGTGTGTGTAGCATTTAAACAGTTGCAAAGTACTGCAATTGGACAAAATTTCAGTACTGCAGATCCCTTGTTGAAGAATCTCGGCTGTGCAGTACCTGTACACACCATTTCCATCTTTTGGTCCAATAATAATGACTGACTGCTGTTGTGGTGAGATGATCCCTGTTCTGCTCTTGGTTCCACTGAAGTATTGACAGTGTTGTCTGAGAGTCGGGGTGTCTGGAACTCATTGATTGTTTCCATTTTTCTTTTGCGAAAGTGCCTAGAATCTACTGGGATCTTGGCAGGACATAAAAGACAAAGCCGGGTATTGATAGTTCATTTGAACCAGTCTACTTGGTTCTACGGGAGATTCCCACAGGTGTTAATGACAGACACCACATCTACACCACAAATTTCCCCAACGTCAGACTAATAAAGGACTTTTTTTTTCTTATCTTATTTATTGAACACATATGGTTGCCTGGAAAATGAGAACCATAAATTGGATGGAAGTACTATAATCAAAACCGAAGTGAGTGGATTTAGAGCAGGTCAAAACAAGTCTGCACAATAAAACGGCTTCAAATTACAATGGAGGCTTTTCTTCAAAGTGATATTAACACCTGCGGCTGTTGACGACTGAATGAAAGAACGCCTGATGACGTAACGTCTGCTGCTTAAATCAGAGGTTAAATGTCATTAAAAGTTGAGAATGTTCCCATTCCCAACGTCCAGATAATAAAAATAATAATGAGATAAACAGGAAATGTCGGGTTCATATTTTGAAGGACAGAGAAATAACAACTGTTTAAAACATGAGCACATTAAATTGTAGTTTTCAGCGCGAGCTCCGCTCAGAGCAGCAGGGCTACGGTTCAAATCCTTTTGAAGACAAGAGCCAGGTTCACCTACACGGTTGTGGTCTTAGAAACTGTGATAAACAGGCCTGTGATCAGGCAGCCCAGCTGGGTGCATTCATCACACCGTGGCTTCATTTCAGAGGACCAGGAGAAATCCTTTGATTTCACAAGATCTGAAGCATCAAGGAAAACACGTTTCCTTGATGTAATGAAGGCAGCAGAGCAATTTCAGCGAGGTCACATGACCATAATACAGTCTGAGGAAGCGATTTTGGGGCAAACTCACCAGCCCTCTGCTGTGGATGTGATGTGTGCAGCTTGGACTTGGTTGGTTGTTATAACACCTGTAACATCATTCATTCATTTGTCTTCTTCTTTCGTGTGTGTGTTCTCCTCCACTGCTGCAGCCAATCCCAGCACTGAACTCAAAGTTCAGTTCAGATTCAGTATTGGTTGCTTGTACAATGTTGGGTGAAATAATATAAATAAAATACTCTATATAGAATTAAACCTAAACATTTTAAGAAATGTTGGCACCTTTGATGTCTGCTGCCAGCTAGTGGCATCAAATGAAATTAAAGTTGATTTGTTGTTATGAAACAGTTTTTAGCATACCTTGTACCAGTGTTTAGCGGACTTAGAAAGTCTGGTGGCCCATATCTGGCCCATGGGCCGTAGTTTGCCCATGTCTAGTATAAAAACAAACAACCATTCACACTCACATTCACAACCATGTTCAGGGTAGTGTGAATGTATGGTTTTATAATGTAGTAGGAAGTACTACAGGTACTACTAGTGAACCCTGCATTTCTTTAGGATTTGGTGAGTCACTGAGTTGTTATTGTTACCTGCGCTCTCTCTCTCTCTCTCTCTCTCTTTCTCTCTTTCTCTCTCCCCAAGAGCCCATCAGGCTTTCATTTTAATTGTAGGTGAGGATGATAATGATCATCCTCACCTACAGAGAAGAAGTCAGTCACATCTACCTTCTCTTACCACACACACACACAACACAAAAGTGAGACAACATATCTTCAGAAGTCAGGTGGTAACATGGTGTTCAGTTCCTCATAAACACGTACTTGTACAGTATAAAATCTGTGACAGGATTTTGTACACAGATCATCGGCGCTCGCCCGCCTTGATCAAGGCAGAGCACCAGGAAATCTCTGACAAGTGCAGCTCAGAGGAGAGACGGCAGCAGTTTTACTGATCATGGAGGGAATTCTGATAACCTTCCTCCACGTTGGTATTCAAGAACACGGCAAATGATGAGGTGTGGAGAGGGAGAGAGGGAGGGAGGGAGAGAGAGAGAGGCTGTGTGTGTGTAACAGTAAAGAGTTGAACTGCCTCTGGCCAAGGGTGGAGGTTGGTGAATAATTGAAAACGTCATAGCTGTGTGTGTGTGTGTGTGTGTGGGTGTGTTTGTTCTTTCTCTGTCTGAATGACATGAGAGGTTTTTTTTTCAGGAAATGTAGATTGGGTTAACTTCGGTGTATGGACTTCAAAGCGTTAATGATGCTTCACTAACACCTTTGTGTTCATGTTACAGGTATTTTTTTTCTCAGTCTTCTACAGAGATTTCTAGATCTGCTAAAATGTAATAATAGACAAATACAGAACAATGTGAAGTGAATTTGGTATGAACCAGGTGTGCACGGATAGAAAGGATATATAAACACACACACATACACGTGTGCTCACAGACACCCAGTGTCCACTGTTGTTGTTGTGGACATGTTTTATTTCACTGTCCTTTTTCTTTTACCTGAGGCCAGAGTTTCAGCAGCAGCCAGTCATCAATTTCCAACAGACTAATCTGTTTCCTTCCAATTATCAAATTTTACTCTGTTTTGCACAAAAAAAAATCCATTTAGTCAGTCTTTTTACTTTGTTCTCTGTAGAATACACAGAAACATAATTTATACGTGTAGCGACTCGGTTCCTTCATCATCGCTCTGAGCTCTCACATCAGACATCAGGGATACAAGCTGTTTAAATGTCATTGGACCGTTTTATTTACCAGAGATGGTTGGGTTTGTGTCTGTTTGGTTTAATTTCTACATCTGTTAGGTGTAAAAATCTGTAAAGTTATTTAATACATTATTATTATAGTTATTTAATGCACTACATATTTAGTGGTGGCGCTTTGGCCCAGAGGCAATGTCTCTGTCATTGGTGTGGAACCCCAGGGTTCACCTCCTGGGCAAGTATCGAGTCCCGATTAGGGCGGTTAATACCTTTCAGTGGACTCACCACCCGCAGGAAGGTGTAGGGAGGTTGGTGCAATGTGAGTTGGGTGGCAGTGCTGCCCCCGCGACCCGGTAACGGATAAGCGGATGAAAATGGATGGATGGATGGACATATTTAGTGGTT